CAGCAGGATACAAAATATTGGATAACAATGTTGTGATATTTATTTTTTTTTAATGCTGTTTTCTCTGTTTTACCCCATCCGAGTCCATTTGCACTCTGCTACACACAGTAACCTGGTTCCCATCTGTCCCTCGCAAAAGGATGTCCACGTGTTTGTGGTAGCTCCTTGTTGAAACAACATTTTTATCAGTTTTGCTGTCATGATCTAGATGCAATAAACATGATTTTACATTTGTCTTTATGGTGTTTGTGTAAACAAGCTAACAGTCAAATAAAAGCATGCCACAACTCTTGCTTTACTCTTATTTCCTGAGCCTGCTACAAGATCAGTGAAGGAAATCAAACTGGTGTGGCATGATGTGCACTTGACAGACCTGCTGTTTGCTTTTCATCAATTTATTGCCTTACAAATATTCTTAAACCAATTAATAATTTGTTCAACATTGTGTCCCTGGACAATAGATTAGATGATTGCTTTGGATTGCAGATACCTGGGGAGGGAAGCTTTGCTTGCTTTTCTCCCATCATCTCAGCCTCAGTGAACATAGAAGATAACTGATAGGCTGAGTTCTCTCTGTGTGATTTTTCTTAAGTAACTTAGGATGGAAGAACTAAGGCTTGCATTGACATTTTGTCTGGAATCTGCAAAATCTGAGAGTGAGATGGGATTACCTTTTCTTTAATGGTATACAAAAAGTAATGGAGTCATTAAATTTAAAATGTAGTGCTGGGCTTAATGCCACGACCTTTCAAGGCTCTTGGATTTTCTGGATGTATGCAACTGCTTCTCTTTTGCTAAGGCATTATATTATAAAGTAAGTACTGTAAGACTAACAGGGACTGGATGTTTTATAGCGAGAATATTTCTGGAACTTTAACTTGTATGTGCTGGCTTTGCAAGATTAACTGGTCTGTTTCCCATGACTCCAAGCTACTAGGGTTTTTTTTCTTCAGGCCTAGAATATGTTTGCAGTATGTCACATTTTCCTTTTATTTTCTTCTTACAGATGATATAATTAAACTGAACAAGAAAGAAGAGAGAAAGCAATATTCCCCCAAAATGAAAAGAGGGCTTCAGCAGAATCGAACTCGACAGTTCAGGACACCAGGCTCCAAGTGGGGAATCCAACAGCAGAAAGGTGTGTATGTCAAACATAATGTGGATTGTGCAATATTTTTTGAGCTGAAATGTGACCTAATGAAATGTATGGATCGACGTGGTCAATTCAGGTGTATTTCAAATAGTGTCACAGACAGTTTTGATTATAATTCAGTTCTTTGTCATCCGTTTATGTTTGGTTTTGTTTCTGGTTCAGTGTGAGAAAGTCGTTGACATGTTTGGCCAATAGGGAGCTTAGGTGCTTGCAGGACTTTTTGACTCAAGGAAGGATTAGCTTTCTTTCTGATTTTTTTTATTTTAATTTATTTTAATTTTAGAAATTGTATTGATACTTTGTCCCTTCTCAGAGATGGATAGAAAGAGTGCTTATGCCAAAGCCTGTATATTAGGAAAAGTGGAGGCATTGCCAAAGCTCAGAGCTTTGTGCAAAAGAGCCAGCACATTTATATTTGCTAGGTAGAATTCTCCTAGTAGGCCTCCCCAAAATAGCTGTTACTATGGACTGTAATGCTGGCTCTGAGGTATATAAATGGATAGTGCGGAGTGTTGAACGAGTTGGCTTTTCTTGTTAAGAGCTTGGGATGCAAAGAAAGTACCGTGTCATCCTTCTTAAGCCAGTGATTTTACAGTGAAATAGAAAAGGGGGAAAAAATCATATAGGCAGGGGGTGAAGAGAGGAACAGTGCACGGTAACAGCTTTACTGTGGATTCCCTGAGTAACTGTCGGGTTTTTTTGATAAACAAGAGCCATAATCTAAAATTATTCATATGTTCTAGTCCAGTACATGGCCAGCACCTGCATGAAGTATGGATGGGGTTTGCTTACATTTAGTTTTGAAAAGTACCTTTTAGCACTGGATGATCAAAATACAGAAAAATACTGTCTAATCAGAAAGCTTACCACCTCAATACAAGCTAATTAGATATTTGAGTTAATACATGCAATTTTTTGTTTAGTAGCATTCATTTAAAACAAAATACATATCTGTCTGGTGTATTCACAGTGATCCCCATTTTGTCTTTGTCTTGCTTAATGTTTGTTGTAGCAGCAGCTCATCGTTAGCATCTTAGACCCAAATGTTGCTGGGGATCAGTGGAATGCAGTGGTGCTCAGGGCTCAGAGGAGTTTTGCTTTTTATACAGGCCAACATGACAGTGTTACTAGTGCATCTGTAGTAAATTCGTGACAGTGCAGGAAAATCTTTTACATCACTCAGCCCAATTATAAGAATATTTGTGTAGGTGAAGAGTAAGTGAATTTAAGTTGTAGATTATCAAACATCTAGGCTTCTGTTTATGACCACAGTTGTCAAATGCAATTGTTTATGGTCTAAAGGGCAGAAAAGGAGCAAGTATTAGAATTTAGAATTTTAGGAGGAACTTGAGCTGCAAATACAAATATCTAAATACAGCTATCTTGGCAGTTAGTTTTCTCTCTTGGAACCTTCCCTCCTTGCCTGCCCTTGGTCTAGGAAAAAGCAAACTTGTTTTTTGCAAAATTGCCAGACTCCTGACATGTTGAAACATTGTGAATAGCTTTAACTGCTCCCTCCTATACAGCTCCACACATTTTCTCCCATTGAAAGCAAACCTTTTATATTTTTTTTGGAGCAGAAGGTAACATTAAATAGTTCTCTGAGCATTCTAGTTATTAGTAGCTTATGACCAGTAGATGTATTGCTGCTACGTTGCCATTGAAGTTATTCTGATAAGTAGCAAATCCTCTGTTGTTTGTGGGCAGCTACAGAAACCACAAATGATCAACAGCATTCAGTTCCTTGTGGTTTTAGAAGTGGCTGCCAAACTCTCTGGAAGGAAGGGAGGAACTTGAGCTGGGACTCTTTTCAGCTTCTGGAGGGAGAAACAGAGAGAAGAGCATTGTTCATTTGAATAAAAGTTGTCCTTGGTGATACACAGAATGCAACTGCACAAAACCCTGTGCAGCCTGAGCTAACTTTGAGGTTGTCATTTATTTGAGCAGAGGTTGGTCCAGAGAGCTCATGAGGTCCCTTTCAGGCTAAATAACCCTGTTTCTCAGCTTTTCTATTTAAAGGAAGAGCATTTGCTAACCATCCACAAAATATGGGTACATAGCAGTTTCACCAAAGCAAATTTATCTAAGCTGGGTTCTGATCGATGGCTTGCTTCCTATGATGGCTCCTGTCTCATGAAGAAGCACACATTTATTGTAATCGATGCTCTGAAGTCCGATATGTCAAAACTAGATGTGTCTGTTGCTGTAGAGCTGACTCCTTAGTCTTAAATTTATCTTGCAGTCTGAGGTTCTAGAGGGGATGATACTTGGGGATAAAACTGAAGCATGGTCTGTATTCAAAGCATGAAGCTAAATGGCTCCAGATAGGGTTAATCAAACCCTTGTAACTGGAGATTTGAGATGTTTGTACTACAGACCTCAGACTTAAAAGGCTTTTATATTCAAACGGTACTTTCAATTCTCACTTTCATCCAGACTGCCATGCAGACTTCTAACTGAAAACACTTTAAATGTGATGTAATTCATACAGTGTTTAATAGAATTTTGTGGGCCGATTGCTATGTTCTTTTTTCTTAAGTCATGTCTTGGCAACCACTGGTCTAAATAAATAAGCTTTTCCTTTTCTTTAATTAAACTGGTAATTTAAAGTTTGCTGAATGAGTAGAGAGCTGGGGTCTTTTGGTTTGATTTTATATTATTCAGCACTTGATCAAGTTCCATTTTGGAGTATTTTGGTAGTTTTCTATGCCAGAATTACTATAAGTTGTCCCTGTAGACATGTCAAATAACAAATTTTCAACAGAAATTAATGCAGTGAACTAGAGCAAAACTGTGATCTATATGAGAAACTGATTATTGCTGTGCTAGGACTTGGGCCAGACCTGCTGAAATAACTGAATGACCAAATTGTCTTCAAGTGTAGCGACAGCTTCTGCTCTAAGGCTTGTAGTGTACAGCCAAATAACTTGCGTTGCCTGCATAGGATCTTAAAGCAATAAGCTTTTTCTTTCAATAAGAATCGTTGAACTCTTCATGCTTGTTGCAGGTTATGGTAAAAATCGTTTGGGACGCAGAAAGAAGATTGCAGGGAAGAAGCGTTCTTACGGAGTTATAACTGGCTTGGCAGCCAAGAAAGCAATGGGTTCACGCAAAGGAATTAGTCCTCTGAACAGACAGCCACTTAGTGAGAAGGTAATTAATGCAATTCTAGTGGTTCATTCAAGAACAGATTAAAAAAAATGAAATGCAATGGCTTCAGAACCGTGCTACTGAAATATAAAATGAAGACATCTGGTACAACCTTTTGTTAAATTGAGGATGTCTTAGCTGAGTTCTTGTTTGTTTTGAGGGGGTAGTTAATGGCTAGATTTGAAAGTTGGGGGTTTTTATCACTTAATTGGGTTTCAAGTCATGAAAATTGAAGGACGGAAGTATGTTTTGTGCAAGTATGGAGGTAGTTACTTTATTTTTTACAAGAAAAGCTCGCTTATTAGTAGTTCTTGTCTTTGCATTCCTTGTTACAAACCAGTGATTCAGCTGACGTACAAGTGTTGAGCATGTGCCTGTTACAAAAATGGAAGTTTTTGCAAAATACTTAATTCCTTCAATAGGCTCCCTCTTCTGCGCTCCTCCGGTGCATTGTTGCCTGCTTTGTCTCATTCAGTATTGTAGGATGGGGATTGCTTTTAGATTTGTGAAGAAGAGTAATTTTAAAGACGTGTGGAATGTGTGTTTTGTCAGTTTAGGGAGATACAGGAATCAAAAAGTAACTGCTACGGTCTGCTTTTTTTTTTTTCCCCCCTCTTTTTTTTTTGCCTGGTAATGAGAGCAATATAGGATTCATGAAAGTGTAGAAGATATTTTTGAAATTATACTAGACTGTGAAAGATAGGCCAAACCTGATGTATTCTATATGCAGTTTGTAAATGGAAATTGAAGGAAAAGTGTTTGTGTGTATACAGTATGCATATATGCTATACATATTTATTGTTTTTTAAGAATGCACAGCGGAATTATCCAGTTTTGAAAAAGAAAACAAACCTGCAGAGACAATCTGAAATGCAGAGAAAACAAGCTCCAGCCCTGAGGAGGCCTGCCCTGCTAAACAGAAGGTAAAATACCAAGTCTGCTTTCTGAACTCTTCTTGACAACATTCCATAGTGAGCCTTGTTTGACAGGACTGAGTCCAAGAGAAAGCAGTAGGTACTGGCTGTAGTAATACGGTCAAGACTACTGTGTGTATGAAGTTCTACAAATCTGGAAGCTGAGCGTGGGACAAACATGGTCTCAATACAAAGCTGGGTATTTATTACTGTGTAGAGCACTCAGGAAGTACCTCTGTTTGTGAGCACCTGGTATTCTGCCTTCATTTAAATCGTAGGCAGCCTATACAGAGATGGCCAACATGGATTTCAGTAGCTTTGAAGTGATAGCCATGGTTTAGTGAACTTTCTAAATAAAATGCCTTTGTGGAAGCTGGTGCCATCTTCAGTTTCATGGAAGCTATTGCATGTTTTATTTGTCCTGGAATTAACATGTCATGTAAACTGCATCTTAACTGGTCTCCATGATGAAAATTTTCACTGTATGACTCTATTGTGGAAACATGTATAAAGAAAGTTTGTTTACAACCAAGACTGCTCCCCTTTTTCATCTAACCAGAAATGTTTAAAGTGATGGAGGATACTGAGCAAAGTAAAAAGCAGAATTAATAATCATACTGTCCTGCTGTGACATAGGAGTTCTAGGCTTCTATGTAACACAAGTGGTTTCTCCATTTGAGTAACATGTTTTGTTCCTAGTGAGTGAGAAGCTTATTGCAACTGAAGTGTTCAGCCTCAAACAAGCAGCACTGCAGATGTCCTTAGGAATGTATTGGGCATTTTCCTGACTTTCATAGTCATCTCTCTAAGATGTTACCTGTGGAGCCTTTGATAACCATATTTTAATAAATTTTACAGGAATAACATGCCATCTGCCTTTGCCAGAATTGGAAACAAACTAAATCAGCAGAAAGACACTCGTCAAGCAACTTTCCTGTTTAGAAGGGGCCTGAAGGTAATAAAAATTACTGAAAACAACAAAATTGTGCCACAGGTTCTAAGCTAACCTAAAACACTGATATTAATGAATCACCTTCAAATATCAGATCTGAGTAGAAACTTCAGGTGGACTGGGAAATAGGCACAGGTTCTTCTAAGGAAATGTACTTGTTTTCTTCAGTACTGTAACCAAGTGTCTTGCTTCTGTTTCAGTGTAGCTGGACTGTTCTGAGGGGCATGGAACTTGTCAGAGTGTTTGAGGGTAGTCGCAAGCTACTCATTTTTCCTTTTAAAAGTGTTAGAAATGTTAGAAAGTGCTGTGCAGCTTTCAAAAGTTGTCTTCGGGTGAAGGATGGACCAGAAACATGTTTTAGAAACTGATGATGTTTGGGGGTTTTTGTCTTGTTTCATTTTAGTTATTTTGTGGTTAGTTATTTTAGTTATTATTTTACTTAAGGATTTTTTAGTTATTTTGAGTAAGATCAAGAGAATAGAAGAGAATAGAGAGTGTACAGTGAACAATAGTGATGTTCTCAGTTTTCATTTGTGCCTTCATTCTACGTCTGCCATCATTGTGACTGTAGGTAGCTGCTGTCTTCCATCCACATGGGTTGCAGAATTACAGACAGGATCAGGAGGAAGAAAAACAAAACCAAAGTCTTCTAAAACAGCAGTGGGATTTAGTGGCATACTAGATGTTATGTATGTTAACATTGATCAGATTAGGAACTAGCGAGGTTTTTCCTACTGGCCTGGTAACATTTTGGTGTATCTTGGTAAAGTGTATGTTTGCTAACATAGTCCTCAAAAATGTTTTCCATCTCTTCATGACACCAAGCTGTGTGGTGCGGTTGACATGCTGGAAGGAAGGGATGCCATCTGCAGGGACCTTGACAGGCTTGAGAAGTGGGCCCATGTGAACCTCATGAAGTTCAACAAGGCCAAGTGCAAGGTCCTGCACCTGGGTCGGGGCAATCCCAAGCACAAATACAGGCTGGGCAGAGAATGGATCAAGAGTAGCCCTGAGGAGAAGGACTCAGGGGTGTTGGTTGACGAGAAGCTCAACGTAACCTGACAATGTGCGCTTGCAGCCCAGAAAGCCAACTGTATCCTGGGCTGCATCCCAAGCAGCGTGACCAGCAGGTCGAGGGAGGGGATTCTCCCCCTCTACTCCGCTCTGGTGAGACCCCCTGCAGTACTGCCTTCAGCTCTGGGGTCCCCAGCACAAGAAGGACATGGACCTGTTGGAGCAAGTCCAGAGGAGGCCACAATGATCAGAGGGCTGGAGCACCTCTCCTGTGAAGACAGGCTGAGAGAGTTGGGGTTGTTCAGCCTGGAGAAGAGAAGGCTCAAGGGAGACCTTAGAGCAGCCTTGCAATACCTAAAGGGACCTACAAGAAAGGTGGGGAGGGAGTTTTTACAAGGGCATGTAGTGATAGGACAAGGGGCAATGGCTTTAAACTGGAAGAGGGAAGATTTAGGTTAGCTATTAGGAGAAAATTCTTCACTGTGGGGGTGGTGAAGCCCTGGCACAGGTTGCCCAGAGAAGCTGTGGCTGGCCCCTCCCTGGAAGCGTTCAAGACCAGGTTGGATGGGGCTTTGAGCAACCTTTTCTGGTGGAATGTGTCCCTGCCCATGGCAGGGGGGGGTAGAACCGGATGATCTTTAAGGTCCCTTCCAACCAAACCATTCTATGATTCTGTGATTTATGGGTTAAGTTACTGTCATTGACAACTTCATTTAAATCATTTTGTGTTCTTAAAGTAATTTCTTTCCAATGTCTTACAAAGCTAATAGGATAGTTATCTTTGAAGTCCCTCTGAAAGTACAGCCCTGTTTGTGCAGAGTGTACAAACAGCTTTAAAGTCCTGGGTTTGAACTGCTGTATTTCCAGCTGCTACAATGGGAATTGAAACAGCGTTCAAATCCCATGTCTGTATCGATGTGTTTTCAGGTGCAGGCTCAAGTGCAGTCAACAGATGACCTTGATAATCAGACAGCAAAGAGAACTCGACAGTAAGTATTTAGTTTGGAAAACTTCAGTTTGATTAGTCATATGATTCTCATTTTAATTCTGGCTTCCCAGCTATGATAATTTAATAGGGTTTTTTTTTCCCTGTAGGCGTATTAACTGGGTGACAGCGATCATCCCCCTATTCTCAGTTGTTTCCTAAACTATCTTCTAATTTAACCAGGAGGAGTTCATTTGTATAAGACACTTGCAGGAATGAGGGGGAAGGTGGTAGCTTCAGAGGATCAGACTAATCTCTACCACTTGTGTATACTGCATAGACTGGAAGAAAAATTCAAACGTTAGTGTTCTGCTGAGCTCTGGATGTAATGTCCTTTTTATTTAATATACATGAAACAGTTTGAAAATAAGCAAGGCAGGTCACAAGGTGGACACTCTGCTCTCCCTCCGTGTAATCTTCCTACACTGTTCTGTGCTTCCTAGGCTCTTTGCAGCTTGGTTGTGGTAACACAACAGGCTGAGTAAGCAGCGTATGCCACAGACCTGCAGTCTGTCACCTCTTTTGATTTGCTGTGGGGACCATTTTGGCCCCATCTGTGGCAAGGGAACGTTTTTAAAAAGTAAACGTTTGAGTCAGTGCTGTAGTTCTGGTACATCTTGCCAGCATGTGATCTAGCGCTCACCTGAATAGGTTTAGATAATATAAAAGATACAAGAATCAGTAGTCAAGCTTCTTGTAGATTGTTTGACTGCATGTGGTCTTCATATTGACCTGTATTCTGAAAGCTTGTACATTCTTTACTAGCCAGTGTTCTGGACATACTTTTAAAGATACCCTGACTGAAATTTCTGCAGTTTTTGTAAGTGATTTCTGCATTTTCAAACTAGATGGCGAACTTCCACCACAAGTGGAGGGATTCTGACTGTGTCCATTGATAACCCAGGAGCGATCATAAACCCAATGTGAGTTTTTAAAAAAGTTCTGAAATGTTCTTAACATAACTGGAATCGCTGTTCTGTGAGCCATTTAGCAAGTTCCTTGCAGATAGTATTTCAGATGACTTCAAGGTCACAGCTTCTTGTGAAGACTTTTAAATCTGTCCCCTTTCTGAGTATTTCTGAGCTATGTTTGAGTAATATCACAGCCAGATTTCACAAGGCATCTCCCAGTTAGAAGCTTGCTGTGGTGTATAGAGTTGAAGAGTGTTCGGCTGGTAGGTTTTCACCTTGTCTTCCTCTTCCAAATCAGACCACATTGCAGCTGTTTTCCTCCCCTATCTGAATGAAAATGAATGAGCATCTAGTTGATGAGTGATGGTAATAGTTCCTTCCTGATTCATAAAGATACTGCTAGAGTAGTTGTGCTTAAAGAAAGCATTGCTGTATTTGTCTTTGGGAAGTTGATGCTACTGGTGTTTTACGAGGTGTTTTATTTCTAAAATCTCTCGAGTAGCTTTTTTCATTAGTAGCATTTTATCTGTAAGGAAGACTGTACCAATTCTTATTTTTTATATATATGGGAATATTTAACCACAAATTATGCATTTGTCAGTAGGATTGAGAGACAAAAGATAAGATCACTTCCTGTCAGGACACTTGCTGTCTGATAACAATAACAAATGCTAACCTTCTGTAGTTCTGCCTGACTTTTACCTCCTTGAACTTGTGCCCTCAAGCTATTCAGCCAGCCTGATCAAATGGCTGGAGGAAAAATTCATACCTCTATCAGAATTAAGGCGTTATTGCATAAAACACACATTCACTGGGTCCTTTGTAACATTCTTCTTTCACAGTTCCCAGAAATTACGATTAACTCGTACTCCTGTGCCACCATTTCTGATGAAGAGGGACCAATCTGAAGAGAAGAAGATTCCCAAAGGGGTTCCATTGCAGTTTGATATTAATAGTGTTGGAAAACAGGTAAATGCAGTTTCTTTCCTTAACTGGAAGTAGTTTCAAGACAGATAAAAGTCAGTGAGTCTAGGAGGACAGTGCCTAGCTCACTAGTGACAGAAAGAGGGAACTAGTGACTACTTTTTGTTTCCACTTCCAGTTCTTCCACTAACTTGCTATGTAACTTCAAGCAAGTAACTGAACTCACTGTTCTTGTTCCTCTAGTTCATGTTTTGCATGCCCACATACTTTAAATGGGATTTAAAATGTTGAATTTTTCTAAAAGCCTTCTGGTGTTCCTACTGTGCTTGAATTAGCAACTGTGCGTAATTCAGGGATGAGCTGCTTTCAGTTGTGTAACCTGCATGGAACCCTGACAGCTGAATTTATAAGGCAATTTTGCTACGCATCTAGGAAAAAAAAATCAAATGTGATGATGTAAAGGCTTGAAAGATGAGCAGTTTTTCACAGTTTCATGAAGACAGGCAACGTGATGCAGGAATCTTAGTGCTGTCATTGAATGAATTCTTACAGGGTGACAGAGTTAGGTGCTGTTCTTGTAATCAGCTCCTTACTGCCAGCTGTAGAAAACTACATGGGTTCAGTGCATTGGTCTGGATTTGTTCCTTCCATGAATAAGCAGTATGTCAAAAGTAGTCTACTACTATATTGTAAAATTAATTGAACTTTTGGACTCCAGTCTACTGCCTCAACTGGATGGACTGGAAAGCAACATGCATTAACGTCATTAAAATGCTGTATTTGTTGAAGTTGCATAGAATATGTGTGGGGAAATGTGTAGTGAAAGTTCCCTTTTTCAGTCTGTCTGTCCTCGGTTTAACTTACTATATTTTGAGTAGACTTTCAGTCTTGGCATTGTATACCATATGTTCTTAATGAATTCTGAGAAATGGTAACTCTTAATGTATAGTCCAATCTGATTTTTAAATTGTGAGGGAAATGATAAAATCAAATTAAACTACTTTTTTTTTAAGTCTAAGTGAGGCAATTAAGAAGTCATGTGATGATACAAAATGAGGGAAAAATTGTTCTTGTCTCCATTACTTTGATTAGATTAACCTAACATCTTTTGCATTTGTGGTGACATTATTTTTCAGACAGGGATGACGTTGAATGAACGTTTTGGGATCCTGAAGGAACAAAGAACAGCGCTGTCTCAGAACAAAGGAAGCCGTTTTGTAACAGTGGGCTAACCTCACAGATGAACTTGAGCCCTGATCCCACCTACCTAAGAAACTGAGATAAAAGTGAGCAGAAGAATACAGCATACATCACTGAAATTCTCCAGACTTCTTGCTAAGATGGTGGCAGAGCTATCTATCTTTATTACTTTTACTTTGAATGGTAAAAGACATGATGCCCTGAAGGGGGAAAGTGGGGAAACTGATCCGCTGGAGTGGCACCGTCACCTGTTTGGAAAAGACTTTGTTGCCCAGCTGATTACACTGATTTTGGTTCGTCTTGCAACCAAAACACAAATAGGAATTTTAAAAGTTGTTTTTTTCATTTAGGAGCATTCAATATCTGTTCTTTGACCCCTCTGTTATGGTAAAGATTGTGTGTTTCATTACAAACCCCATTTTAGGGTTTTTAGGGACTGCCTATGAACTTTCCTTTGGACTGCAGTTTGGCACAGAGCCTCAGTCCATGAATACTTTGATAGTGATGTAGCGGCATTTTTCATGGGAGCATTGGTTGTACTTCTTTGTGCTTTTGAAGTTCAGTTTTTTTCCTTTCTTGAAAACTAAATGTTTTGCATCCTCACTTTCACAAATAAAGCTGTTAGCTGAGACCCAAAATATTTAATTGGGATGGAGACTATTCTACTCTTATCCTTAAAAGTGGTTCAGATCATGTTGGAGGAATACTGCACAGGCAGTATGAGAATAATTTATATTACAAATAGCTCAAGCTCATCATCCTCCTCTGTAAATTGAGTATGTCTGTCTCCTATTTTTTCTTAAACTTTTGCTTTCTATTTCTTTTTGTAAGTTTTTTTTTCACAAACTTAATGCAATAACTTCACATTTTTTGAATAATTTCATAGGAATAAATACTTTCACAAGAAAATCAGTTGCATGGTAGAGTTCCTTACCCTCCCGGACATAGGATTCTCATCTTGCATACTTTGCCCCAGAGAGTTTTCTCTGGCTCTTACAAACAGCCAGAAACAAGCAATCTAATAGCACTTGTTTGTATATACCAAAGAGAGGTAAAATGTGAAGCTGATCAGAAGTGGTCAGACATCTTGAAACTGGCAGAAACTAGGCAACATTGCTGGAAGCAAGCCCTCAGTTTACCAGCATGTGTAAGGCATTAAGCAGGAGCATGTACTCGCTTGCTTTAAGCTTAGCTTTGTGCATCAGAATCTGCAGGATGGTAACAACTGGGGCATCCTCAATCTAAATTTACGTGATCCCTAAAACTGAGGCACCTGCTCAGAATTGCTTCCAGACCAGGAACTGATGAACTGTTCTATAGCAATGAGATTTAGGTACAGTCAGGTTAAGAGAATGATTGGCTTGCTGCATCCAGAAATGTTTATGGTGTATGAAGTAGGTTTAATTCCTTTTATTGTTCTTGAAAAATTTACATTTGACTTCCTACAGAGTTGGTTTCCTTGCTTTTTTTATCTCAAAATTCCGAGTTAAGTAGCATTTGCCAGGAACTTCAACATTGAAGAGCATTTGACAGTAGAAGGGCTTTTGTTTGTATAATGGTTTTAAAATCAGAGTGCATCCTGATGCTATGTAGTACTTAAACCCTTATTTTTTTATGTTGAAAAATACACTTTAGCAGAAGGAAACTAAATGTAATGGTGTTAAGATTATTTTTTTTTTCTTAATTACTAGTAGGAAATATTTTTTGGAAAAAATGTCCCACTCTTAGATTTTGAGTAGATAAAAGTGTTGTCAGTCATCCTGTTTCAGTGTATACATTTTCCATGTGACAGGATGCAACAAAAAAATTCTTTTGCATCAACATAGATGCAAAACATTGATGCAGTGCATCAAAAAATGCTAGTTTGTATTTAATGAGAAGATGCTTTACACTGTACCTTTTGGTATTTTTTGGAGAAGTTATTACATTTGATCTGTTCTAAAGCTGTTAATTTTTTTTTTTTTTAAATAAAAAGTTACAGGTTTCATACTGTCTTGTTCCTGTTATAACCACCTGGGCAATATATTCGGTATGTGAATTTTATGATATCCTTCAAGGGGTTCTTAATGATTAAATTCTTATTAAGCATTCTGAAGAATATACCAAAAAGCAGCCTAATTTAAAGAGGACTTGCATTCATTGCCCAGCTTAATATCCTGAAAATTAAGCACTTCTTGGTGTGGCACTGTATAACCTCACTTAAATTTAAATGTGTCAGCTGTTAATGTATTTTTCAGTAGCGCCGTCTAACTTAGTGGTTTGGTGTGGTTTAGTACCAGATGCCCTAATCTGTCAGCCCAAACACTGGTTTTCACATTGCTGTGACATGTCTTGCTAGCAAGAAGTGCTGTAATCTAAACCTTGTATTACAGGATCAGCATGAACACCCTGATAAACGACCACAGCCGTGTTTTTCCAGCGCAGTGATGGCAGGAGGCTTGCGTGAGCAGTGGTAGTGCTGCTGTTAATTGGCGGTGCAGGAAAAAAATATTGCCTGCAAATACATTTGATAAGATGGTGAGCGTCTTGGCACCTGGCTATCTACAGTCTTTGTTCTTCGTTAGCAGCTCAAGTCTGTACGGTTGCCAGCTTCAGGCGGTGTTCAGACACGCAGCGGTTCCAGAGTAAGCAGCAGATCGGTGCTTTCCCAGAGCATGACTGGCATTTATTCGGACGTTGCAAAGAGCGCGATCTTTTTAGGATTGATGACACCAAGGAAGAAAACAAAGCGGTTGGTGCTTTTCCCACCTAGTTCAGATACATGCGTTCCCTCCTCGGTTTGCTGCTGGAACGGGTCTGACAACGCACCGAAGCAGCGCTCGCCCAAAAGCCGAGCAGCCGGTGTGGCATCCCACCGTGGTGGGTAAACCAGAGTTTTTCTGAATTGCAGGAGATGTGCAGGTACTACAGCCATGTTCAAAGGGAGGCGGGCACCCTCGCACGCCAGATTATCCTAGGTGAGTGGAAAAATCAGACCCGAAAAGGAAGTTTCGGGTCATTTTTACGAGGTGCTCTGGCGCGTCCCTGTACCCGCGGGCGGGCTGTCGTGCGTGCGCGCCCCGCGTCCTGTCAAGACGGGCGCAT